AGCAGGGGCGAGCTTGAGCGGCGCGTGGGAGTGGGCCGCCGCCGGCGGCTGGCAAGGCCCTGCCCCAGTGGGTGCATGCCAGCGCCAGCGCCTCCAGGGAGCAGTGCAGCGCGCCTCGCTTGGGGCGCTCCTCGCCACCCCGCGCACCGCCGCCGCCAAACGCGCACCCTGCACCGTCTGCCCCTCGTGCACCACCCCCTGCAAACACGCGACCAAAGGCCAGGAAGCGCTCCTCTGAAGGGTTGGAGGGGCCCGCCTCGCCCGGCAGCCTGCAGGCAGGAGGTGGAGGCAGGGGTGGGGGCCAGGGAGGGGTAGGGCAGGGCAGGCTGGAGAGGGCCGCGCGTGGCTGCTCGCGGGGCGTAGCGGCCGCGCTCACTCGGACGCACAGAGCCCCATACCCACTGCCTGCTCCCGGCAGCCCCGCCGCCCACACCGCCCGCACCACACCCCACCCCGCCACCAACCCTCATCCCCACACCAGCACAGAAACTTCACGACAACACGCTTGTCATGGCGACGCAATTGGAAAGCGCTGTACAGGCGCTCACCTGGGCAGCGCGCTGGCGGGCACCGCCACCATCTTTGACACGTACAGCACCAGCGGCGCCTCGGGGCCGGCGCTGCACAGCCGCACCGCCGCCTCGCACGCGTCCAGCCCGGCTCGCAGCTCCTCCCCCAGTTCCTCAACCTGCACCTGCACTCACCGGCGGCGAGGGACAGCCGCTGGGGCGCCGCCCGCTCGCTTGCGGTTGCATTGCAGGCCACAGCCTGCCGGCCAGGCACCAGAGGAGGGTGCTTCCGCGCGGGCCCGCTGTCAGAACATGGTGCCTGCCTGTTGGCCGCCACTGCCACAGCATGGCCCTCTGGCTCGCCCCTGAGGAAAGTTCGCCCTCCCTCACGCCCCTCCCCAACATCCCCCACACCCCCCTTCGTACCTTGAGCTGTTCCGAGCGGGGCGGCAGCAGGCGCGAGTAGCGCTCGGGCGCCGCGGCCAGCGGGCTGGGCAGGTGCTCGGCTGCCATGCTCAGCACAGCCTCCGACAGCGGCAGCCAGGCCCTGCAGAGCGGCGGGTCCGGTTGGGAGGCGAGGCGGGTAGGCGGGTCGAGGGCGGGGCTGGCAGGAGGCAGAAGGAGTCGAGCGTAGACCGGCAGAGCCTGGCAGCAGCTGCGCAAATGTCTGGGCAGCAACCGGGTGCAGCCTGCGGCCGCTGGTCACGCCAACTCGGACAGCGGCTGCCGCCTCACGCGCCCCGCCTGCTCACCGCATCACGGAGCGCAGCGCGGCGCGGGGGTCCGAGTGCTGCACCGCGCGCGGCGGCACCCCCGCCAGCCCCAGCCCCGCCACCATCCTGCCCAGGATGGCGGCATGGTCGGCGCCCGCCTCGCATGCGCCGTATGCCTGCACCGGGAGGGCGGGCAGCGGGCAGAGGCTCCAGCGAGGCGACAGGTCCAGCAGCTGTGGTGCAGGGGCGCAACCCTCTTGCTTGCCCAGCTGCCCAAGGCCGGCCAGCACCCATGCTGCAAGTTCGAGCTCTGGCCGCCCTGCCCACCTTCCCACTGCCACCCAATCACACACGCACACACATACAAGCAGAGAAAGGTGCCCCTTCCCCCGCGCATCCCTTAGGCCCCTTACCTTCCAAATCGGCTCCAGCGCCAGCTGCACAAACAGCGGCTTGGCGCGCCCCTGCTGCTCCCCCCTGATGCGCACGATGCGCTTGCTCTTGGGCTGGTACGCATAGTCGCCCCACAGCGCCCGCTGCAGCGCCGACGCCTTGCAGCCCAGCTTGGCTGCGGTGGGGGTGGGGGGGCAGGGCGCGCGGCGGCGACCAGGTCGCGCAGCCGCCTGGTCCGGCTTGCCACACCGGTCGGGTGCGACGCCCGACATCCGGGACCGCACACCGCCGCGACCACACACCACCCCGCCCTGCCACCGCCCTGCCGAGCCCCGTGCCACACACACACATGCACTCTGCCACACACGCACT